GATGATGATGATGATGATGATGATGATGATGATGATGATGATGATGATGATGATGATGATGATGATGATGATGAGATTTGATTTGATTTGTTTCTGTCTCACTACATTATCCCGCCGCATAACTGTCGTGTCTTTTGCAGACGTAGAGCCGCCTGTCTTCCTGTCTGGCTGCTCCAGCATTGTGGAGTACGCGGCGAGCCTGGGCCTAGACACCCAGGTACTGTACGACCTGCCCCAAGTGGCAGACAACTCGGGGGATCCTGTCTCCGTCTCAAGCAGTCGTCCATCAGGCTCCACGTTTGACATCGGATTCACCAATGTGACAGTGGAGGCCATAGACACTTCTGGAAACAGTGCAAGCTGCATGTTCACCATCAACGTTTTCCGTGAGTGTGCTTGGAACTGGGTGTTGTTATAATTACACTGCAGCCTGTCTATAATGACCTTCGATAAAACGACATCCTCTGTATAGCAACATGGTGCCCAGGTTCTGATTTCTTTCCTTAAATATCATTAGTAACTGTTGGTTGCCTCTCTAAAACGACAACTCTCTATAACGACATTTCTTTCTGGTCCCGACGATGTCGTTATTATAAAGAGGTTACACTGTAATTGTTCGGTCAGCCGGATCAGGATGTCGTGTGCTTGGAGGGTGCTCCGGTGTGGTTTGCTCTTTTTTATTTTCTTACCAAATATCTACCATCGTTATCTTTCTTCCTTCTCTGTGTAAGTTACTCTCTAGTAGTAACACCTGTATTCTTCAGCACTGATATGAACTATTTGTGTTGCAAGAGCTGTAAAACTATTCATGAATCTGAAACTAAACAAACCCGATCACGATGTGTGTCTGTACAAGCTGCTCAGTTGACTCAGAATTCATACAGCCAGGTAGACCTTATCCAGTCAGGCTGAACTTGCAGTAGATCGCATTATCGCTGGAGATCGCAGAGTTGACCGGCACCCTTATAAGATATAATCTTAATAGACGGTGCTCACGGAAGAATCGGTTCGGTTCGGTTTCTGGCAGCTTCAGTGAACACTACAAATAGACCCATGCCTCAATTGTATCAAATAACCCGAGGTTAACAAAACCTACCATTATACCGAGAGCCCATTGGCATGATCGGTTTAGTTCGATGCTCTTTGGTAGGCGGGGCTAGCCAGATTGAGGCTGCAAAGGGACCATCGTGGCACACACCGATTGCTTTCAGGCCGCGAATCGGGCAATCGCTTTGTCAATCCCCCAATGGGCACTCGGGAAAAGAAGACCCTTGTATATTGCCTTCAGGGGCTGCTTGCCACATAGTATGGCGGTTGCGGTGTTCTCGAATCTCATAAAGATAGGAACGATAAAAAAAACCTCGATGATCTCCTCGAGATCGACAGAGTTCATTTTGCTATGACATTCATCGTAAAAAGACCTGACCTTCACATTGCAATGTCACAATGGTCATATGACTCGCCGCCTTGTGCGTTTGTTTTGTTTTTGAAGGTTAACATCGGTTTCATTTGGTTTGTGCCACAGTGGTAGCTTTTGCCTTTCCATGGATGAAAGTGCGGCTAGCCCCGACGACCGAATCAAACCGAACCGCACCTTTTTTAATATTTTCGATTCAGAAAGTTTTGCTTTTCTCATGGTGCTCCAAAGGCGGAGGTATAAAATGCGAATGTTTTACACTATGCACTTACATTACATCCCCAGAGATTCAGTGTCCTGCCCCCGAAAACACAGACTTGGACGACTCTGCTGACCGACGCATGCAGTTTTCTTGTCCGGATGGTCACGTGTATGGCGCGAAATGTGACGTCAGCTGCTCCGACGGTAATCCAGTCCAGGGAGTGGACGAGATCACGTGTGAGCAACAAAACAGGACGGACGTTGGTTACTGGTGGTACGGCAACATCAAGCCATACTGTGACGGTGAGAATCTTTATTCATCATTGTACTGTTGTGAGGCATCGTGGTGGAATCAGTCTCTCGTCAAAGTAATGAAATCAAAGAAATGGGCATTTATTTTGGCCGATGGGAAATTTTTTTCTAATTTTCTTCTTTTTTTCTGATCATCTTTTGTGTCCATTAAAAAATATGTTGTGTGCATTTTGCTGAAAAACATTGATAAAAGGCACACAAAATATAAATTCTTAGTTTCCAAAAACTCTCAGGCTATGGGAGTTATCAAGATATGGCAGCCATTTTCCCCCTAATTTAACCTCTGAAACCAGGCGACCCTGACCTCCTTCAATCGCAAATATTTCGACTTCTATTGAAGATGGATTGATTTTTTGATCAAAAGGAATACAAATGAACAGGCTTTAAGATGATACCAATAACCCCATATGCCCAAACATTGACGCGCGCCTAATTCCACCTTGTCGTGGCACATTTCAAACTCCCTTCGGCACAACAATATTATTAATTAGATCTAGCTTGAGCAAACTACGGCCTTGATAATGAATTTTTAGAGCATTTAGCAGACAGACGCCCACACACTCAGCACAATAAAAGAAAAGTGTGTGCGGGGCACAGCGAAAAAAAGTTTGCTCCGAGGAGTGGTCAGGCGCGTCTCAAACCAGCTCCTCGTGGAGACAATTAGCAGGAAGACCCTGATGTGGACGCTGGAAAGGAGAGATGAGCAGCTATGGACATGTGCCGCCTGCTATGATTCTAGCTCTTGATCCAAGTAAATCCAAGTAAATCCGCATTGGCTCTCTGGTAGGACTCTTTCGGCTAGTTTCTGAAGTCGCTTCAGGATGATCCTAGCGAAAGTTTTTCCAGTGATGCTTAGCAGTGAGATACCTCTGTAGTTGTTGCAATCTCCTTTGTCCCCTTTGTTTTTGTAGAGTGTGGTGATTTTGACATCTCTCATGTCATGTGGAATTTCTGCTTTCAGCCAACAAGTCGTTAGTAGCTTGTAGAGATATGGGAGGAGAGTCTCTTTGTTCTCTTTCAGCACTTCAACAGGTATGTTGTCATTTCGTGCTGCTTTTCTGCAAGCGAGTTCATCGATTGCAGAGGAGAGTTCTTCTTCTGTTGGTGTTGTATCAAGTTCTGACATTTCGGAGAGCTGAGGAATGGCCTCATGTAGCTGTCTATCAACATGTCGCTCCTCTGAGTATAAGTCTGAATAATGTTCCACCCATCTTTCCATTTGTTTCTTCTTGTCTGTCAGCTGTTCACCTGTCGCAGACTTTAGAGGTGCCACTTTGTTTGATGTTGGTCCAATAGCAACTCTGATGTTTTCATACATTTCCTGATATTACCTATATCGCTCGCCAGTTGGATTTCTGAGCATAATTTGTCCCAGTACTGATTGGCACACTTTCTGGTTTCTCTTTGAAGTTTGGATTTAGCGGCACGTAGTTGTTGCCTTGTACTCTCTGTTGGATTTGTGTTGTGTTCTATCAGAATCTTACGCTTTTCTCGAGTAGAGGTGCGAGTGTTGATGCACTGGCCTCAACCCAGTCCTCCTTGTTATGTCTTTCTATTCCAAAAGTAATCCACGCAGAATTATAAATTGTTGATCTCATGCTATTCCACATGTTGTCTGGGGATGAGCTATCTAGGTGTTGGAGCTCTTCTGTAACATGTTCTTGAAATTTTGCCTTTAACGCTGGGTCTTTGGTATTTCTTATGTTGATCTTAGGTTTCTTTTGTTTTTCAGCTCTTGGGGTCCCCCCCCCCCCCCCCCCCCCCGTTCTTGTGCTTCAAATAGTTTCTAACAGTATGCATACGTTTAACATTGGAAGTAAATTACTTTCTAAAAATTTATTATCGAGGGCGTAGTTTGCTCATGCTAGATCTAATTAATAATATTGTTGTGCAGTGCTGTATTGACGATTTATAATGCATGTAGTTTCAGATCCTAGATAAAAAAAATTTTTTAAAGTACTGTTTGCTTCGGGGAAGGAAGGGCGGGGGTAGGGTTGGTGTTTCGTGCTGCTGTGTGACCTTTAATTTTTTCCTTTTATGATGTCTTCCCTCTTATTTCTTATAAGTCATCATTATCATCATCATTGCCATCGTCATCATCATTTTCCACAGAACATCTGCAGCTTCCTCAACGACTGCTACAACGAAGACAACATTAAAATCAGAGTTGCAATTCTTCAGTTAATAGAAAAGAAAAACTACATTCCTCTAGGTTATTACATCTAGTTCTAGGTGTGAAAATGTCAGATTCTTTTTTCTCTCGGTTCCAAGTAACTATGCTCCAATGTATTTTTCTGCAGATTCAGCATGTCCCGCAATAGATCCCCCGCAATATGGAGCTCTCGTGTGTGACGTCATCGCCAACAAAGAAGTGTGCACTCTGCAATGTCGCGAGGGCTACGCTTATCCTGTATACAGTGGTCAGGACGGCTTCTTTATCTGTCTGAAAAGTGAATGGCAGCCCGTGAGCAAAATTAATACTGATGTCTGCATAGGTGAGAGTGTTTTATGTGTGGAAGGGGGGGGGGGGTGTTTGTTTGAGGTTTTTTTGGGAGGGGGGGTGTTTTGTTTTTTTTTGTTTTTTTTTAAATTGTTGTTGTGGGTTTTCTTGGTCATCACTGATCTCTCGAAAGTTGCTTAATAAACCAACGTCTATGGTGTAGTGATAAGAAGCTTCGCCATCGTACACAAGGGAATTGAGTTCGATTCCCAGTTGGGGAGACTTTTTATCGAATATCTTTCTCCTCAGATGTTGTATTCTCTTAGCCGAGGTCAGCCCTATACTGGGCAGTGTTGAAGTCCACTTCCTACTTTGATGATCATAGTTATGCCATTAAGGGCGTGAATAAAAATGCCAACATTTTAAAAGAAACAAAAACAGTTGCTTAAGAAAGGGAAAATGAAAGTGGATGGCACGGGCGTTGAGATAGCCGAAATCAAACATCACTCACCAAACCTGCTAAAGATGAAATCCTCAAGGTAAGAGAATGACAGCAAGGTCTAAAAGTATTTGTTGGGGGGATTTAGATTCCGACCTGAAGGGGATGGGGCATAGCTGGACAGAGATGGCGGCTATAGCCCATGACAGAAGTAGTTGGAGAGCTGTTGTTGGAGACCGTAATTCCTACACGGTGTAAGATTGTATAATGATGATGATGATGATGATGATGATGATGATGATGATGATGATGATGATGATGGTTCTCCGCACCTGCTGGGCTTGTTCTCGTTTACTGTGCATCCTCGTCACAAACCAGGATAACAAAAGCAAAAACTACCGTTGCAATTTTTAGGGGTGCAGAAAAAATCAATTGTCCTTGTCTTCATACAGGTGTGAAAAGCCCACGTTTGGTTCTCCCTTAATTTCATAACTACCTTCCAGATGCCAGATAAACATCTGATTTGATGGTCACAGCAATATCCAAACAATAATTCCAGCGCTTGCTTTCTTGCAGTACAGGTGTTCCCAATTGCTTTATCCAACAGCAGGTTGAAATCCACACGTATGAAACCATATTCAGAATAGAGCAACATCGAAAAGTTGCAACAGAAAAATTGTGTCACAAAACAATGAAATCAGGCGCTCGTTGATTTTTTGGGCATACGAAATTATTGGTGTAATCTTAAAAGTTCTAATTTGTCTTGCTTTTGCTGAAAAAATACCCGTCTATCTTTGAATTGAAGTCTAGATATTGGCCATTGAAAGAGGTGGGGTCTGCTGGTGTCAGAAGTATAATTAGTGAGAAGATGGACGCCAAAGTTTGGTGACTTTAAATGCTTTAGTGTCCTTAGATACTACACTTTTTCCATTCCATGTCTCTCTCTCTCTCTCTCTCTCTCTCTCTCTCTCTCTCTCTCTCTCTCTCTCTCTCTCTCTCTCTCTCTCTCTCACTCTCTCTGTCTGTCTCTCTCTCTTGCCCTTTTTTAAACTCCCAGTGGAGCACAGGCCATCAACAACATTACTCCAGCGAAGCCTGTCCTGAGCATCCTTTTCTATCTGTTTCCATGATGTCATCGCTTTTTCAATTTCCGCTTGTACCGTTCGCCTCCATGTCATCTTTGGTCTTCCCTTCTTACGCTTTCCTTGTGGGTTCCACGTTAAAGCCTGCCTGATGATGCTTGTCGGGGGTCTCCTCAGGGTGTGTCTAATCCATTTCTTCACTTGAATATCTTCCTTGACTGGTCTTTGGCGTGTTCTCTCCCACAGTTGAGCATTCGTGACTCGATCGTACCACATGATCCCCACTATTCCATGTGCCTTTGATCAAAGATTTTTTTGTGGTAAAATCTAAGCAGGAATATGTTTTAAAGTTGACATAAAGGGTGTTGAGCTCAGAAAAAAAATCTATAAAAACTACTAAACGACCGGGAAAATGTTGCTTTATTTGATTTCATTATTTTTTACGGACGCCTGATTTCTCTACGGTGGCTCACAATAATTCATTGATAGTAAGTGTTTTTCGGCCCAATCGACACATATTTCTAGAACATTCAGGGAAAAAGATGAATCGACCCAGCCCTTCAGGGCCTGCTATGGCCTTGCATGACATCTTATCCAAGCAGAAAGACAAATGCATTTTACAAAAATTAGCCTAAACATTCATCATAAAATGTTGTTAACATACAAAATTTGTCCAGCTCTTGACAGGGCGCATGTACTGCATAGACCATAATAACCAAGACAGAATAGAAAAGGAACGTTAATTTTTACTCTCCTTTTAGATTTAGTAATAGTTTTACGGGGCTCGCAACTGCATAGGGTCATATTTTACTCTCTATGCCTGTTATCTCTTTGTCTATGTATTTCTTATTGTTCATTTCCATGTGCACCCACCAGGTTTTTAAAGGTTAACACTTTCTTAATCTTTGATTTGAAGTTTCAAAAAGCTATCGAAATTGGCTAGTGGGTTATTAAGGTTTTTGATCGTCGATGCACAATTGCCAATCATGAAAATCAGAGCTACTAATTCCTTTTTCTAAAATATTCTACAGCTCATAATACCAATTAATCTCACGATAGTTACACGGTAACCTTTCTAACGTGAAGTTCCTCTTTCCTTTTAAAATAAAATATTTAAACCAAAACCACTATACCAGGGACATAAATATTGTACGTTTTCGAGAGTATAGATATAAATAAATAGATAGATAGACAGACAGACGGACGTACGGACGGACGAGTGGTTGGATGGATGGATACATACATACATACATACATACATACATACATACATACATACATACATACATAATGAATATCTGCAACGAACGCAGTACTAAACTTGATAAAGGGACTGAAGAAACCTTCTAATAATTTTGTATTCACTGTGGAATTCAGTTTTGCTCCTCACTGGCTGGGACCGAACTCCTGACCTCGTGTTTGACTAGCAAACGCTCTCTTTGTTGAGCTACTGCAGAGCCCCCTTCCCCCTTTCCTTCTTTATACACTAACACACATACACACACACATGCACACACACACCCATACACTCACATGTTTCCCATATGAAATGTTAATTTAAATTAACAGTCTTTTCCCGTCGTACTTCTAAGATACTCGCTTTTGTTACTGACAATTCGTTAATTTAGAATTACAATGTTCTATCATACATTTCTGGTCCTTTTGAATCACTATGACCATGAGGTCAGAAACCAAATTAATTATATTATGTTCTATCTGTCATATCAAAATTGGAAGACAATTTGTCGTTATCAAGATAATATACAAAGAAAAACATTCGAAAAAGCTTGAAATGTGGTGAAGCTAATAACGTTTTACGTCCAATTTCTCAAAACTCGGTGTTGACCTAATAGAACTTTATAATTCTAAGGTAATAAAATTGAATTGCGAAGCAAAAAGTATATATTAATCATCTTGATTTTTCACAGCGGGTCGTGTTCCAACATCGGTTCAACTTCAGCCCGATATTTGGTACTATTCGGGAGCCTGCTCTCAAAACAACACGTCAATCAAAGAGAACTTTATTTCTATCATCAACGACACGTCCATTCTAGACGATTACTGCACATCTCAGAACATCACCTGTGTCCTCGACAATGTGTCGATCACATGTGGGCCAAACAGCGGGAAAAGGGAAGCTGATGAGAGGCATGCACTGACTATTGACCACGTTAGTAGAACCAAGAGGTCATCCGGTACATCATTTTCAGAAGAGGAGGAGCACCGTGAGAAGCGTTCTACGACTCACATAACGAAGGTACTACTGATTGCATCATTACATTCTGTTAGTTCCTGGAGAAGCACAGCTATCTTTTTTTCCACTCCCCCCCCCCCTCCTTTTTATTTATTCCTACCCCCCTCTTTTATTCGATAGCTTAGAGTAGAGTAATACGGCCACTCCCTGTCGAGGAGAAACGTGGCGTCTTTGAAAGTTCCATTATATTTATAATGTTATTAAAAAATACGCAAGAGAGGAAATGGGGTGATGTTTTTGAAAAATGCGCAAGAGAGGAAATGGGAAGTGGCCGTTTGTACAGATGATTGTCTTATACAGGTGGCCTTAAGAGCAGGTTCGACTGAAGTGTTATGATAATTTTGACGATTAGCATTTCGTCTTGTTCATGAACACGATAGGTTTTTTTCATGGGAGAAAGTGGGAGGGGCAAATATTGGCCAACGGAGATTGACACAGATTTACCCCGCCTCGTAGACAAAACTGTAACTGGCATAGCCTTTGTCTTCTCTTCTTCTTTGGCTGTTCAAGGTCATTCCAAGTTCATGAGAGAAGAGCTATTTTTATTATAATTACTCGTATTATTATTATCTCCATTATTTTTATTATTTTTATTATTATTATCATTGTTGTTGTTGTTGTTGTTATTATTATTATTATTATTATTTTATTATTATTATTATTATTATTATATTATTATTATTATTATTATTATTATTATCACTATTATTATATTATTATTATTATTATTATTATTATTATTATTACTATTATGATTATTATCAGTATTATTTTTATTGTTATTAGACTAAACAAATATTACGAGGAATTTATTTCAAAATATAGTTGGCAGTACACAGATTTCTGCTGCGCGTGGTCGAATAGATTAGCGAAAAATAACTTTAAGGGCAAATCCTTACTCGCTAACATAATAGCACACATAACACAATAATTGTCATAAAAAAGATTCCACCGGTTCTTGAGGTACAGGGAGCCGTAGTAACTGAAAACTTAAATATTTTGTGCATTTAATCAACATTTTTCAGTAAAATCAACACAAAAATGAGTTCTGGAATGTACATAAAAGATGTTGACCCAAAAAGAAAAAGGGGGAAATAATGATAAAAGTAACCAAACTGGCCAGTTTCTTCAATTTTATAATTTTGACGAGCGCCTGATTTCACCACGCTGCCTCACATATTTTTCTTCCATTTTTGTTTTTTGTTGTGACTGTCAACATTCAAATATGATATGTGAATTTCCACAGAGTATTAACTCTAGCACATGCAATCGATACTCAGTGATTTGGAAACTGCCATAAAATAAAGACATTCAAACTGTGGGCTGAGTGCATCTGAACAGCTGCTGGATCAACGTTATCATCTATTATCTATTATCTATTTGTGGTGGCCAGATTTGGTATTCAAAAGGCTTTTTAATGGCTGCATCGATCGACATGCGGTTTTCGCCAAAATATTCTTTAAAATATTCTCCAGATCATGGCACCCTTCGTTTTTTCAGTTTTGAGACAGTTTTGCTGCAAAAAGCTAAATTTCTTTATTTCGCCGATCGCTTTTGTAGGCCGACGCTTTTGTCTCTGTAATTTTAGAAATCCGCTAGGTTTGTTTATTTCAAGTCGTACTTCCGTTCGATACTATCGCGCATTGTCGCGCAATACAGAGCACTATTTTAAGTGTGCGACCCATATAGATCTAGCCTCGTGTTTTATTTTTTTACTTGGTGCTAAATTCGACTGTGATCCTTTCGTTTGATGCCCATCATCGCTTTTTCTGGACTCCTTTGTCAAATTCTTTTTCTTGCCACTGGGAACAACGTCAATAGATCTTAGATAAGAATCTTGATCTAGACCTAGATAGCGCCTGACCATGCCGAAAAGAAAAGGAAGTTCTGCAGTTGGAACCCTTCGAGCTCGCAAAGGTCGAGGTGGTCTAGATCAACAACAAAATGATGGGGACTCTCTAGATCAAAATCTCCCAAAAGCATTCCTCTACATTGTCAATTCCTTTCAGTACGAGTGCTACATTAGGGAACTGACGACACAATGTACACACTGCCAGGCCTTAAGATTTTCATATGAAACACAAGGTATGTGCTGTAGCAATGGCAAAGTTGATCTGCATCCATTTCCAAAACCACCCCCTGAACTGCAAATCCTTCTGTCTGGTGTGTCGAAACTGTCCACTCTCTTTCTGGAGAAAATCAGGATGTACAACTATTGCTTTCAGCTCACATCCATGGGCTATACCAATGCAACCCTCAATGAATGGAATCCACAGTTTTGCGTGCAGGGTCAAGTATATCATCGCATTGGCTCTCTCCTTCCTGCCACCCAAAATGAGCATTCATTTCTGTAAGTTTATTCCATGGAACGTGATGCAGCCTCAGAGCGCAAAAACAGTCTTTTCCAAGTACTTGAGCCTGGGATCATTTCTAATCTTCAAGTAGTTCAAGCCATGTTGCATTGCCATAATTCGTAGGTCATAATCAGAAATGTGCATATGAATTTGCACGCTCACATTTCGAATAGTCTGTGGAAGTGTCATGCAAAGTTTCGTGGGCCTAGTTTAATTTGTCAACGAGCTAGAATTTTTTTAACGCAGTCAGAGGAAAGCGAACAAGCTATAGACACTGCCTCTGTGATTTTGAAGACGTCGGTTTGTTCCTTTTTCAGAGTAGCAGCCCTTTCGTGGATTATTATTTTCTTAGTGCTTTTTGTGATGGTGTAAGGCGAAATCCGTATTTTGTGATTGTGAAGGGCTAGACAACAATACACTAAAGCAATGTAGATCAAGAAAGGAGTTAATCAAGGCAGACTTAAACTAAAGCACTATAGATCTAGAAGACAGATATGACTGTGAAATGCTAGACAACAAGGTACATGTAGATGTAAAAAGCCTCTGCGGCGTAGACCAGTAGGAGCAGTGATGCCAAGGCGTCGACCCCGAACAAAGCCGGGTGCTCAGCTAGTTATACTATAAGTGTAGTCAAACATTCGTGGTGCAACTTATCCTCAAATATGTCTTTAATGGGTGAATCAATGTCATCCATACTTTGCATAGCAGTTTGTATCAATTTGTCTTAACTGAATCATATTTTTCTAGAACAATTGGGGCTAGACTAAAAAAATGTTCTTCTTAAATGTATATAAAATACTTGAAATCTCCGTGACACGTAAAACGGTATTGTTCGCAGCACTTCCCGCTTCTCACACTCATTTTGATTATGCATATGGCCTACGTCACAGCTCATCAAAGACAAATTTTACTTGCAAAATTTGTTACAAGAAATTATTTTTATAGTGAACACATTTTTGCACTAATGGCTTTCGAAAAACATGCGTTCAATAATCATAATGTCCCGATTAGAAAAACTTGACGGAATTGCTGTTAAAAGTAATTTTGCCCCAGCTGTAAACATTAAAAAATATGTAGAAACCACCCTCTTGGATTTTTAAAATTAGTATTGATTAAGGAATTGTCTAGAATACAGATTGCAGGTGTTTACAAAAATAATGATCTGTTAGAGTTACGACAAATTGATACAAGTCTCTATGCGAAAATTGGAGAACTTATGTTCGATAGTTGAGAAGCTATTTGAAAATAAGTCGCACCACGAATTTTTGACCGCACTATAACTTGGTACCCCGTTCGATGAACGGACTCAAACAAATCGATCGTCAAGTCATAGTGGGTGTAGTGCGCACTGCTTGTAAACGGACTCCCCAAGAGTAGGCTAGATCTAAACGAAACTAATGAAAAACTGTACATTGACCTAGACTCCTTAATATGACTGCGCACCTTTTAAATGATTTTGAACCACCGTTAATTTGTTCGAATTGGAAAGTTGAGTTGTTCGGAAGTTTTAGGCGACCAAAGAGACCGACTTTCACATATAATTATAATATAGATTTGTTTCTTTCTGGCGGAAGAGCAAACGAAATATGTCTTGATCACTGCATTGAAATGACGAACGGGAAAATCGTAAACGGCCGATAGTGTTTTCTATTTTTCCATAATTTATTTTTAGGCGAATGTAAGCACTTACTGAATTGATAGAAACCTAGCTTGGTCTTTGAACTACCTTCAGTAATTTTTTCATAGTGCTACGTTCCGTAGTTGTTGTTTTTTTGTTGTTGTTTTTTTTTTGAGCTATAGAAAATAACCATCCACATGTACGCAATTTTAAAATAGAGAGATTTTTTAAAGTTCGTCACTTTGGTCGCCTAAAACGTTCGAACCACTTAACTTTCGAGTTTGACCAAATTAATGGAGGTGCAGAATCATTTAAAGGGTACAGTTTTATTGAAGAGCCTGAAGTCAATGTTGTTTAATTTTCAGTTATTCATTAGTTTCCTTTTGATCTAACCTTGAAAAAGCCCGTCCTCTAAGACGCCATTGTAAAATAAGCGAGGTTTCCGTTCACTAGCCGTGCGCACTTTTTCCTAACCTTTGAAATTCTGGAGTGCACTACCACGAAAGCGAAATAGAGAATCAATTTGTACATGATATTATATTTCAAGTGAAAGTTCGTCACTTTAGCTGCCTTAAACATAACTTTCGAATTTGAAAAAAAATTAATGGTTCAGAATCATTTAAACGGTGTAGAGTTTTATTGAGGGGTCGGAAGTCACTGTAGTTTAATTTTCAGTTTTCCATTCGTTTCGTTTAGATCTATTCTTTGGAAAGTTCGTCTTCTAAGACGCTATAGGCCTAACCTAAATACTTGTTATAGGATGACAGAAGTTTGCGAAACAAGAGAGTATAATGATTACACGATACCCTTGACCAAATTTCAGACGAAGATGTCTATATTATGTGATTTCTGTTGAATGTCTTTTGAACCTGTGTAAGCTGTGCGCAAGGCCTTGAGGCTCTGTTAGGGATTGTGCTGAAAGACTTAAAAGGGTTTGGAATTCTGCTTGGGGGCAAAAAAAAAATTTTCAAGGATTCTTGGGGGGTATGAGTTAGCCCTAGATCTAGATCTGGATCTATAACAGATGATCAGTGTTGAATACCAGCTTCCCATAATTTCTGTGATAAACTCTCAAAACCTAAACGAAATAAAAAAAATGGCGGAAACGATAAAACCGGGTGAGATGGTGTATCTTCACCCCTGGTGAGAATACTCACAGCGGATTTAGAAAGTAGATGCCTTGAAACAACGAGATCTAGATCTAAAACTCGAGTCACAGAAACTTAAGCTATAGCATAATAATAACAGACAGACCTACCTATACCGCAGGAATTGAAAATAATGAAAATGAATACGCAACAAGAACAGGAACTGTTAGGCCCATGCACAGCTGTATGCAGTACAGTATAGGCAATCTTAAACAGAATACATACATTGGGGGGCTAAAATTTCAAAGCCAGCATTGTCACGCAAGGAAATTTATAGAAGAAGCTAAGGGCATGTGCTGCCAAAATGGAAAAGTTGATCTCGAACCTCTTCCTGTACTTCCTCTGCCTCTGGCAATATTCTTTGAAGGTGTGACTGCTGGCTCAGCACATTTCTCAGTAAACTACTCTTCCAGGTGATGCATACATGTATATCTAAATTTATTTTTCTGGTTATACCTACATCCCTCTTTAAATTGATCATTTGCAGATTTTTCTCTTCTTTCTCTTGCGTGAAAATGACTTGACGATCGATTCTTTTGAGTCGTTCATTGAACGGGTGCCCAGCTAATACATTATATTTGTGAAAGTCAGTAACTTTGGTCGCATAAAACTTCCGAGCCACTTTTAATTTTGAATTTGAAAAACAAATTAGCGGAGGTTCAGAATCCTTTAAAAGGTGCACAGTTATATTAAGGAGTTTGAAGTCACTGTAGTTTAATTTTCCGTTTTTCATTAATTTCGTTTAAACCAAATCTTGACAAAGTCCGTCTCCTAAGACGCCATTGTAAAATTGTGAGGGTTCCGTTCACAAGCAGCGCGCACTGCTTTCAAAATGATTTGACGATCGATTCTTATGAGTCGTTCATCGAACGGGTACCCAGCTAGGCTGGCGTCTGTGTGTGGTGTAGCGTTAGGCGCCTCGCACTTGCACGCAGATGTGAGTTCGAATTCTGTGCACAAAGTGGTTTTCTTTTAAATTATTATGATCAAATCGAGTATCTCCGTCTGTCTCCTGAGACACTCCATCCGTCTAAGTCTGGACTGGTCTTGTGAGATAGGGTGGAAGCAGCATGCCTTCTAAATAACCACAATAACAATCACATTATCACAGATCTATTTAGTATATTATTTATATAACATGCCTGTTGAGACACGTATATAAGAATTTGGTCTTCGCTATAATAATAGCATTCCATCGGTACTTCAGGTGTTCATGAAGGTAAATTAAATTGTTGCGCATTTTGTATCCAACTGAATTAGTTTACTTATTCTGCAGACATTATACTTAAACAAGTCAATCTATGCCATTTTATACACGAAACGAAAGAAGGGTCTGTCGCGTCACAGGGAGATCAATCAGACCTATTTGCACATTCAGGGGGTATTTAAGTTCTGACCACATTGCTGTTAATGAGCATTACATGTGTATGAAACATAATTGGTTATGTTCGTTGTTAGTTTTTCTCTGACCTGATAAGTAACGTTAGCCGAAGAAGGCATGTTTGGCAATATGGCAAATAAATATCAAGTATAGATCTCGGAGAACTCGGGACGCGGGTTAAAAAACGGACAAATGAATGGCTGAAAGGAAACACATTCATGTAGAATATCTGAGTTTCAAACATCGTGAGTTACAAAATTGACACATCAAGAGAGCAGCACTGAGCACTGAATGGCTAAATAGAAATGTGTCCTTGCATAACAATACAGAGCACTGGAATTTAAACAGTCCGACCTGATATTTTTTCTTTGGCCCATTTCTAGGTCATGGGGGGGGGGGGTGTACAAAGCAAGAAGAGGTGATTATTTCAGGTCTACGAATATCTTTATTTTTTGTCATAACGGACACAAGTCATATCTAATCTACAAAATGATTCTCTGTCTTAATTAAACGTTATAGCTCTGAGAAGCCGCTACCACAGAATTAATTACAAAGTTCTATCTGTACCTTACCTAATTTTGAGAAATTTGATGTAAAAAATTTTGAGTTTCATTTCATGTCAATCTTTTTCGAATGCAATTCTGTTGAATATCTTGATAGTGACTCCGAATAATCTTACAATTTTGATAGAACAGATGGAACATTTGGTTTCCAACCTCACAGTATTAGTAACTCGAAACGACCAAACATGTCAGAGAGCACTTTGTAATTCTGATTCAGCGAAGTGACTTTCATCTTTTATTTAGGACAAATTAAAAAAAATGGCATGGGTTTAACGCCCCTATCAACACTATTAGGTTATTTAAGGGGCGGGACCTCCTAGTTTAGCGTCCGTCTCCGATAGGACCGAGCCAAGCGGGAAGTTCGTGTAAAGTGCCCTTCCCAAGGACACAACGTCGGACCGTATTTAAGACATGTTGGTATCGGGTTATAAGGAGAGTTTTAAAAAATGGAAGGCAAAGAAAGGCGGCAAATAGGATGGGTGTTTCAGGAAAATGTTTCACTTAGTATCTGTTCGCGTATTAGTTTTAGTTTAGTTTTAGTGAGAGTTTTAAGGTACTTTCAACACAAACAGATTATATTGGTGCCGAAGATTATAGGTGTCACTAGAGAGTAACATACAAAGAAAAGAGGGATGACAGAGTTGACAACAAATGGATAGAGAAGGAGGGTACCACACCAGAACACTAACCACCCACTCACTCCGTATGAGTTACAGAAGAGATACAAATTCCAAGTTCAAAACTCTTCACCTCAGACATTCCCTTTCACCCCACTCCCTAAGGCTGCCTTCACCTCGGTTATTCCATTTCACCCCACTCTCTAAGGCTGCCTTCACCATCAAGTTAACCAGCGCAGACCCGGATGGAAAGTTAACAAGGTCGGCTGTAGAGGACCTGACTGCTGAAATCAACAACCGGTACGGCGCTGGCACAGCGGCTGGGAAATACGACATGCCAAACGTTGGCACAACGGATAACTTCTCTTATGGCTGGGCAACTGCCACATTCTCGTGCCCCGCCCCAACGAACTTTCAACCGAGATCGGACTACTTGATTTGTGGTAAGACCTTAGTGCATACTGTATGTTGTATGTATTTTCATGTCGAAAAACCCATTCTCGCCCCTCTCCCAATAAAGGAAGAAAAAAAATCACAGACTGGTTCCCAAGTGAAGGTAAAGAGCCAAAACAAAGTCTTATCTGGACCCGCAGCTAAAGGGTAACAGCTAATAATAAACTTCTACAACCACCACTTCCAGTGGTACCTTAAGCAAAGAGCCCCAGCAGCGATAGAAGAAGAAGAAGAAGAAGAAGAAGAAGAAGAAGAAGAAGAAGAAGAAGAAGAACAACAACAACAACAACAACAACAACAACAACAACAACAACAACAACAAGGAGGAGGAAGAGGAAGAATAGAAGGAGGAAGAGGGGGAGGAGAGCGGGAGAAGTAAGAAAAAGAGGGGAAGGTGGTGGTAGTGGTAGAGGAATGGGGGAGGAGGGGAGGAGGTGGGGATGGAGAGGAGGAAGAGGTAGACGAGGAGGACGGGGACGAGGAGGGGAGGAAGAAGCTACGAAAACGAAAGCAATCTCGAGGATGAAAAAATGAGGAATGGTAGAGGAGATCATGAGTCGGTGTAAAAACACAAAAAGGGGGGGGGGGCACCTGTTAGAAAAAAAATCTAAACCTAAAAAATAAAAGCAGAAACAGTTCATTTGAGCGAATCGAAAGACATGCATTCATATAAGCTGTTTTTTTCAATTTTGGAAATAAAAAAAATATCTTCAACCAGTTGTATGTTATTCTCCATTTATTGGGTGTGTGGTGTCAGCAACGGTCTTTTTCTGCTTTCTTAATACGCTTAGAACGACAAAGTTCTATTTGCTCAGCATTTAGTTTTGAGAAATTTGACGTTCAAAATTTTGAGTTTCACAGTATGTTAAGCTTTTTCAAATGCAACTCCTTGAATATCTTGATCATGACTCAGAATAATCTTACCATTTTGATAGAGCAGATAGAACATTTAGTTTCAGACCCCATTGTCTCAGTTACTCAAAACGGCCCAAAAATGTCAAATAGAACTTTGTAATTCTAAGGTAGAGAATAACTGATGTTGTAAAGCTCAGTGAAAAAGAGAGGAGTGAACCGCCAGTAATAACTTTTGCTTCTTTCCGTTTAGTTGGGTGTGGTCGAGGCTACTTCTCCGAGTCAGGACAAGACTCCTGCTCCATTTGCCCCACCGGTACATACCAGCCTTTTGAGGAGGCTGACAGTTGTGTCCCTTGCCCGAACAACGCCACCACCAAGACACAGGGCGCCACTTCTGAGGATTCCTGTTTAGGTGTGTAAAGATATTTATAAAAAGTAAAAGTTGTTCCCGCATCCGACCCGGACATTGGGGATTGCCTTGTTAGCGAGACAACCTGGGCCTTTGGCATAAAAAAGATACTCATTTAACCATACCAAAATAAAGAAATTTGTCCGTAATGTTTTAATATTAGGTTTGTGTTACAATAATGTTGTGATGATGAGATACAGTTTGTATGTATGTATGTATGTATGTATGTATGTATGTATGTATGTATGTATGTATGT